TATGTAAGAAACCTTGTGCCAATCTGAAATACAGGTGGGCCACCACACAGAGAGGCTTTTAATGAACAATCCCATTATGAAACTGATAAACCCAAATCCTTCATTATAAAAAGGGGCTTCTTTTTCAGATTTTTCCAGCTCTTTAATATAGGCCAAGAAACAGGCATGGCAGAGATTATTGGGGTGTTTGTTATTGTTGAAAGCAGAGTATCCAACAGAATCTGGAAAACCCATCCTTATTTCTTAGAGAGAATCAATCAAAGTAGGCTTATTTTAAGTTTGCTCCTTTTTCTGAGGACTGAGTAATTTCTTCTAAGACCCTTAATGGTTGCTCTTTCCTTCTGCATATTTGAATCTACATTCCTTTACAGATTGTATCATTTGCTAGATTGGGCATCAAAAAAATAAACTGGTTGATTTTGTGCCTTTCCTCCAAAAGCTCCAGACAGTATACAAGTCATTCCCTCTCATTTTTCCACACAATAATAAACTTGGAAGGTTGGTTAGACTGAAAGATCACAATGGACCAAAGACATCCAATGAGCTGTCCAAACAGTGAAATTGCATCTGAGACTTTGCAACTCAAGTATTATATTTGATCAGAAAGGTGAATTAGAAAGGAGGGCAATAATCAGATGCTAAACAATCAACAGAGCAAACCTACAGTTTACAGTTACTTATTAATATATCCTTGAACAAGCTTGTGAGTGTTTACGATGTATTCAGAATTCACTGCAGAGAGATGGGTTGGAGACAGATTTTCTAGATTTGCCACTTGAATATTAGGTTCTTCTTATTTCTTCTTCTTTTTGGAAGATTCAGTTTTAGAATGATAAATGAAAACTATCCTCTTTGGGAAGACTGATCTGGGTTTATTGGTTTGTTCTTCTTAGCTTTCCATAGATCCACTCAGCTTTCAAATTCTTCAAAGTCTTCCATCAACCTAAGAAAGCTTTTCCTGAATTTTAGTCTCTGCTGAGCTGATTGTAGGCCACCTTTCTAATGTCTTTGGTTTAGAGATATTGGAAAGGATACATATTCCCACATTTAGACAAGATGGGTGAGCAATATAAAGCCTATTTCAGATGCTCTATGAATATTTGGACAAAGTATGCTGTTACTAAACCAAAAACTAATATTGCTTGTGCTTACAAAATGTTCTGAGTTCTTCATGTAAGATAGGAAAAATCTTTTTCAGCTCGGTGAGCTGAAATACAAGACATTGAACAAGAAGGGCATTGGTCTAATAGAGTAAAATAATATACAAGTAATCCTCAACTAAGCCCAAAATTTGCTTGAGTAGGGGGCGGGCTAGAAGATCTCTGAAGTCCCTTCCAGCTCTATTCTGATTCTTTTCAGCCAGGTGCATGGCTTTGATCTACCATTTCAGCAGTGGACAATCCTGAATAGGATTTCACATTACACAGCATCTGCCAGGACTCTCTGTATAAGTAGGGCATAATATCCTCCGTGTGACTGTGGGGTCCCACATCAAACTGTAGATCACATCATAGGTGGCTATAAACTAAGGGCATATACCGATCCAGTATTTGACTTTTTTAATATAAATGATGCTGTGCTTCAATGGTTAGATGGCCTAGACCAGTGATGGCGAACCTACGACACGCGTGTCAGTGCTGACACGCGTAGCCATTTGGGGTGACACACACAGGATTTCATGCGATTCATCCTCGGCTCCTGCACGGCCGCCGAGGATGAAAGAATCTGGGGTGGAGGAACGGGGGGGGGCGGGACGTGTGATCTCCCCCGCCCACACTCTGTATCGCCGCCGCCCCTTTCTGAGCG